CGAAGGCGGGCCAGCGAGGCCCGCTGGTCGAAAGGAGACCGGCTGCTTGAACCTGCAGAGAAGCCGACAACTGTGCGGGAACATTAGGAATCCTGCGGACATAATGACTTTGACCAACAACTGCTTGAACAACAGGATTCCTACCATGCGGAGGAGGCCACTGGTGAATCTGACGTGAACCTGTAGTTTGTTGGGTCGGTGGCTAGGAGGAGGTGGAGGTGGCAACTGCTGGAACCGACAGAGGAGTTCGGAGCTGCTGGATTTACGGTTAAGCTCTGATAACATATTGAGATTTGGAAAATACCAGCTTAATATTATTAATAAGAGAAGTATTTAAAATCAATTACAATAGGCATAATAAAGGAAAGAAATAAAAATAAAATAAAACAACTATGAAAGAAAATAAAACATAATAAAATAAAACAGAAAATATATAATCGGGGAATAAGAGAAACTAATAAATAATAACGACTATGGTTAACTGTTATAATCTAATATTATAAAAAGATCAATCGAGATGGAGTTAGAGATAACTTGAAACAGTTTCAAAGTAAATTTAGAAGTTCTAAAATATATCATCTAAAGTTCTGATTTCAACTTTTGTCTTTAATCTATAATCAAATGATATATCATCATAAGAGAAAGCCAAAATTTTTACTCTTGTTTAAAATTGCGCAATAAAAGGCTCACCTCAACATTTTTTATTAAAAATTGCAATAAGGCATGTCTTATTGTCCACAGGGTGAGGGGCGCCTTGGCCTCAAAATGTTTAAGCTATCTACATTTTTTTAACAAATTAAAAATAATATCAATAAGCCTCACTTATCAACCCTCACACCTTATGTAAATAACAAGAAATAAACGGAAAAGGTATCCATAAAGTTTATGTAGTTGAAGTTCTAACTATCAACATATTTAATATTTAGTTAATATTTTTATTGTGATTAATTATTAAAAAAACTGAGATTAAATATAATGAGAAATGAGAGAATATGAATATGAATATGAATATGAATGAGCAGAGAGCGTGCAATAAGCAATTCATTATGCGTATGGTAATATGGACTTCAAAATTTAAACATTTAAACAATGATGACTTCTTGTACTCTTACTTTAAGTGAGAGAGAAGAGGATAAAAAATATGGGTGGAGAGAATAACTTATTTTTATTATTTTGTTTTGATGTTTCAATATTTTATTTGGAAATCTTAGCTTACTTTGATAGTTTAAAATTTATATAATATTAGGATATTAACGGGTTACTTCTTGCCTTGCACAATTTATTACTTTTTACCTTGTAAGAATGTTGTTATATTACTTTTTACAATGTTAATATGTTATAAAATTAATATGTTATTTCTTTCTTCACATTTTATAGTTTATAAGATATTTATTAATTTATGTTTTTTTTTTTTTTAGGCTTACACCTCAAATCTCCTCGAGGCTTAATGCACACCCAACAGAGAAAAAATGCCCCAATACTCAATTGCGCAATTTTAAACCTTGATTTTTACCACAAAGCAAAATATTAATAAAACAACTCGAAGTTATATATATTATATATATATATATATATAACTTCGAGTTGTTTTATTAATATTTATGTGTGTGTGTGCGCACGCGCGCGTTGTACGTGTGTGTGCCGCCTATCGTGACTCTTTAGTTTGCAGAGTTTGTAAGATCCCTAAAGTCACGAGTTCGATCCCACCTATATGCAGAATGAAATTCTTAGGCACATGGGGTAGGTCGGAATGCTCGTCTAATAGTCTTTGACCAATTTTTAATATATATATATATATATATCAAGATCGACAATCATTTTATGAAAATTCTGAAGTGAACTGTAGGTTTTGATCCAAAAGCGGAGTCCCCTATCATTCCAGTTTTGATAAAGTTGTTGGGGTTTACATCTATTCAACATGGAAATCCTCTACTATTTAGCAATTGCTTACGGTAAGTCTCTCAAGGTAGATAGTCTTACGTTTGTTGTCGTCAGACCTTCTGTGGTTTGTGTATTAGTTGAGAGAAATATCACTCAACCAACTCCGGATGAGATATGGATTGGCATTATTCACAATGGGTATTGACAAAATGTTGAAATAGAACCACATCCTCCTTATTGCTCACATTGTAGTATGTTTGGCCACAGTTCTAATATTTGTTATCGTTTGCATCCTCATCTAAAGTCGAATATCGCTAAAGATCTGTCATCTATCATCCTTGCTGAGAAGCTGCAATCCGATCCTCTTTCCAAAATCATAGTTCCATATGAAGAACACTTTACTACAGGTACAGATCCAAATGTGCAGATACCACTTAAGCCTCATTTACATACCAAGACATACGAGAGTGCTCTTTCGACCCAAAAGAAGATCAGCTGATAGAACAAGTAGTTGTCTCTAATGTTCAACAACCTACACATATTTTGCACACTTCAGACCATTTTGCTGATCAGGTGAGTCAATTCTCGGATAAGGAACGACAGGTCTACACGAGGAGAAAGAACGGAGGACGACTCGAGTTAGGGAATCTATTGGATTATACGTTGGTTACTACTGACAATGACATTCATCTGACCAATTTATTAGCTGGCTCCTTCCCTAGAACTAGAGGGAGAGGCAAGGCAAAATTGGGTCGCTCTCCAGCTACCTGATACTCTTATTCTGGCACTTTTTAGTTTTTATTTTTTTAGATCTCTTATGTATTGGTTGTATTTTTTCTTTTTTGAAACCATTTGATATGCTGATTTTTGTGTAGACTGAGTGTCATTTTTTGGATCTCCCACAAAATCTATTTGTACCTTACTTTTCATAGAGCCGCCCCCACGTAGTGGGATTAAGGCTTTTTTGTTGTTGTTGTATATATATATATATATATATATATATATCAAATAAAATGAAATAAAAATGAATAAACAGCTTAATTGTAAATAATAATATCATAATAATTCATTATCAAACTTCACAAATTATTATTTAAAATATGTGTTTAAAACATTTTAAAACTATATAATTACTAACTATTGTCAATCATCTACTACTATACAATGACATCTAAATATAGTATCATACCAAAATAATAATAACTATATCAAAAGTTTGATAACTATAAATTTCATAAGAGAATAGCTAATAAAGACCAATATGAATATTAAAAGTATTAATAAATCCATTTGGAAGCAATAATAGTTTATATTTTCTCTTTTTTTTAATGATATAACAAAACTACCATAAGAGCAATTACTTTTACATATAATGTATATAATGATCTATGAATTATGAAGTTCTTCGACTCTAGCTACTTGATTGTATATTATAAAACATGTTTATCTATGTGCATATTGCTTTTGCTTTGCAATAAACTTTATACAATCCTTTTGTTTAATTATTTTACCAATCTTAATAATCCTTTGGAGCAAGCTTTTTATTTCCATGATTTCTTCAGATTAGTATTTTTTTTCCTTAAGCATTCTTTGGAGTATTTTCTAGTTATTGTAAAATTGTAGAACACATGCACCAGATGATAAAAATGTTTTAAAAATGTAAGTATGAAATTATTTAATTTTTAGAAAACAACTCTTTTAAAACAATAAATCAAATATAACTAGTAATAAAGTAAAATATAGTCCTAATTATAACGTGGGGCTTAGAATAATTAGTTCCATTATGATCCTGTTGAGAAATTGTCGAGATATTTTAGAAAATAAAGTGAGACTTGTGAAATGTTGTGTTTGGTGTACATAAAGAATCCCAGTGTCCAAATGTTTGACCGTGACATAAAGACACATAGAACTGTTTGTAACCAATATGCTTTGTTGCATCAGGATTCGTTTAAGAGAAGCTAATATAGAGGTAAAGACCAGATGCTTAACGAAAGGAGGGCCAAATAAATAAAGCATATAAAGCTGGCATGATGGTAGAAAGCGACATACCTGATCTATGATAGCAAAATAATGTGAGTTTGCCTGCAAAAGAAGAAATAACTCCTATGAGACCTTATCCAAAGGCAATAATTTCTACAACTAACAACCATATTCAAATCAAAGAATTTAATTCATAGAGAGGACTATAAGAATGTAAATTGTTATTAGATGACCATGTACAAGAGAGAAAACAGAGAACGTAAACAGCGTTAGCCAAAAAATAGGAATCAAAATGATTAAAGAAAATTATCAGCAAAAATCAAGAAGATTAAAATATCCCAATAATTGAGAAGCATATTCTTGTAGTTAACAGCAATGAGCAGGTCTAACTTGTATTACTCAAAATTCATGTCAATCTTAAAAATGTTCAAGTTTGAATAAAAAAGGCGCCCATGACTATCACGAATTTCTGATCATTATTTTCTACATTAATTTCAGAACAGCCAGAAATATGTTAACCATACAGATATGGAACATTGCTATTTTGGAATGGTCAGACATCTGTGAACATATCGGCAAACTTTAGCTTCTGTTCATGTCCATTTGTTTCATCAGGAAATAAGATTGTTGGGCTGTTCCATGACATCGAAGAAAAAGTTAAAACAAGGGACTTTCCTTGCGGAAATAATTTCCAATGCACGAGACCATCAGCATAAATTATCTAGCATTAGACCATAAAAGTCATTAACATATCTGATGTAGGATATGCAAAGGAAATTTACCGATCCACATTGACGGTACAAGTTTTATCGGTTGCCAACATTTTATCATGATAGGCCTTCAGCATAAAGCTTTTGGCAATTTATCAAGAAAGGCACAGAGCACATAATATGCAACATGAGAAAGCAATTCTTTTACTCAAAATAAGACATTGACCTGTGTGTATATGCCCAGGGCCAATTCAAGGTGAATAGATTACAACCAAAGCTGCCTGAGCTTCAACAATGAGAGCAAATAAAATGGGGGGCAACAGAATCCATTTGATTGAAGATAGTAACAACAATGAACAAAGGAGCGACAATACGTAAATTGCACCAAATTCCTTCGATGGCATCAAAATTGTCAGAATGTCATCCGTTCATCAAAATAACTGCGCAAACAGCGTCCAGAGCAACGAAATTATGCAAGAAAAGATCTTTCATCATTGAAACAATCAAGCATGAAGAAAACAATGGATTTCCTGTGCAATGCACACAATTTGAGCCCAAATTGTTTCAATGTTAGCCAAATTTGCTCAAACAATATTCCATTGGAAAACGGACTATAACAATGTGTCTAAAACATTGAATTTACTCCGAGCAGAACATGAATTTACACGTATTTCAAGGCAATGAGGTGAATTCAAAATGCATGAAGGCTAGAACGTACGAGCAACGATTAATCAAATGCAATGAAAATGTTTATTTCATTTATTTTGGATGTAGAATATTAATATGACAAGAGAATAAGTTGGAAAAACTTGAATTATAGAGATCTAGCTTGGAGTCCTTTTGACTAAAACTAAATTTGAATATGTGGAATGTAATTTTAGTAGTAGTAATTGGCAGAGTTGTAACTATGAGTGATCAAATCATTAAAGAGTGAGAACGTTTTAGATATCTCGAATCTATTGTTCAAAGTGATGCTGAGATAGATGGGGTTGTTATTAGTTGAATTAAAGTTGGTTAGTTGAAGTGAAGGTTTGGGCCTATTGTTTGTGTGATAGAAAAGTAAATTTTATAAGATGGTGGTGAGACCTGCAATGTTTTATGGCGCAAAATATTGGCCTTTGAAAGAGATGCATAAAATAAAGTTAAGTGTTGTTGAGATGAGAATGCTTAGGTAGTTGGGAAGCTTAACACTTAGACAAAATACGAAATGAATCTATTCGAGAAATGGTTGGTGTAGCTCCAATGACATATAAGATCAGAGAGTCATCTTAAATGGTTCGGTCACATTAAACGACGATCATCTGATGATCCGGTTAGGAGAGTAGATGTTTTAGATTTGACTCATGTTAAAAAAGGTAAAAAGACTCTAGCATATAGATGTTTTAGATTTGACTCATGTTAAAAAAGGTAGACGTAAACCTAAAAAGACTCTAACATATTGTATAAAAAATGATCTTAATCCAATAGAATTAAATGAAAATGCCCCACACGCCATGCCCATCCCATTTTACTAAAAGACAAATATTTAAAAAAATTATCATCTAGAGCTTTAAAAACTGCCCATAATTGACTCATCACACCTATCTGTCATTCATGCCCAAACTCTGTCACACTAATCTAAAATTATCGTTTTGCCCTTTCTATCAACAAAACCCACGCACGTAACTTGCTTCCTCACATGAGGGCTTCCCTCCCTTATGCTCTACCCAAAACTCCATTTCCTCGACGTGAAACTACTCTATCTCATGCCTGCTACCTCCCTCCCAATCCTTCTCTCTTAACTTCAAGAAAAAATGGAAAAATCCCCATTCTCCCAATTTCCTTCTTTTTCTTTTGTCGGTAACCATACAATCTCAAAGCCTTGCACACCTACCTTCTTCTTCCCTCACACGCGTAACTAATAGCCAACACAAGCTCCTCTCACTTTCTCATTCCTAGTTGCTCTCGCCAACTGAGACGCACGGCCTGCTATCCTATCTCCCCAATTCACTACCTAGCCAAGACCAAAAATACATTCCTTTCATTGAGTTTCATCCAACTCGCCGCCCCCACATTCCCCCTCACTTTTCTTTGCCTCGCACGATAAAGGCCAAAGCCCTTAGACTTGCTCTCTTACTCGATCCCATGGCTGCTTCGTTTCCTTTTTTATCGAAGAAACCCACACAAGACCCTCTTCTCAATATGCTCGAGCTACTTTTCCCCTTTACAACACCATACTCCGTTCTACACCTCAAATAGCTATCTCCTCCCTAAACCAAGAAGATCAACCACCAACAATCGCCCCATTTCTCTTTCTAACCATATCTTTCACTCTCTATATTATGATCTCATCTCTATGATCTTGATAATTGGCAATTCAAGAATGTCGATGACTCAAAATATTGAGTAAGAGGAAAATAGAAGAGAAGCGCGGATTGAGAAGAATATACAACAATTCAATGACGCCAACAACTACAGAAGTTAGAACAAGTGGGAGAAAAAGAAGCATAATAAAGGTAGAAGCTTACAACATTTTCATTTTTCTTAAATGTCTCCAATAGAGCCTTATTTATAGAAATACAACATTGTTAATGCATTGTTAACCAGATTTTTAACCCATTAACAACTCTTACTAACCTAATCTAAAACAATGATCAACCATCCCTAATATTCTATATAATTAACCAAACCTTCAAAAAGACCTTGCCCTCAAGGTCAAGCAAATCAAAGAAAAATCAAGAAATTAGGATAGCAGAAAAATTAGTGAGCAATGAGTTGAAACGTTCATCAATGAAGCTGATAGGCTTTTTGGTGTACCTTTTGCAAACCAAAAAAGTGTGGTAAGTTCTTGGACTTGTTCCCAGAGTTGTTGGATTAATAGAGAGACAGAAATGGTAGAGCAGAACAAAATTTCAATCGTTCAAAAGGGAGCAGGTTTGGTGATTGGCTCCGTAGGAATCATTTCTATCTTCACATTTTTTCTTATTGTTATGGAAGTGAATTCAACTGCACTGGGAGATACTGCCCAACCTACCATGGTATTCAATAAACAAAAAGGGTTTAGGGCTTAGGGTTTAGAGAGGCAGCTTATTTTGGCGGAGCAAAAGATGATAGGATTATTGTGATCAGATAGAGTGGTGGATCATGATGACTGCGAGCAATGTCATATGGTGGGAAGATGATGAAAAAAAGAAAAGCATGGTGAAAAGAGCACCATTGTTAATCCCATCTCTAGGATCTTGATAATCAACAATTCGAGGATCTTGATAAACCCAGAAATTGGGTGGGGAAGGAATAGATAAGATAAACTCAATTTGAGAATGATAAATGACAATTTGAAGATGTCGACAAATGGGAAATTAAAAAGAGGGTGAGAAAAATAAACATAGTAAAGGGACAAGCTTCACATTTTCAAACATGGGAAATGTGTATTCACAATGATGTTTGACTTAGTCATGGACCTACAGTTTATTTGAGAATGATAAATGACAATTTGAAGATGTCAACAAATGGGAAATTAAAAAGAGGGTGAGAAAAATAAACATAGTAAAGGGACAAGCTTCACATTTTCAAACATGGGAAATGTGTATTCACAATGATGTTTGACTTAGTCATGGACCTACAGTTGATCATAGTTAATGAGTCAATCATGGGCAATATGGATTAACAGTGCCAATAGGTCTTCTGATAGCTATACCTTTTAATTAAAAGAGCATTAATAGTGCCTTCTCCATCAATTCGTTTTAAGTAATTTTTTGCACAAAGTCTTACATCAAATTGAGTAAAGTCACAATTCAATTCTTACTAACACAAACAAATGTCTAAGGGGGGAAAAATAAAACAGACAATTGTCATCTTGACAGTATACCAATTATTATCTTTCTTGTGTTCTGGAGTAAAAAAGTAGCAAAGGACACGCATTTGACCACAATTGATGATTAAATCAAAGGAAATGTGAATTCAAGAGCCTCATATGTAAGTAGATGGGCATTTGGCTATACATTATTAGGTGGTGTTTTTCATCAGTTCAAGCTTTTAAAGTAATCAGTTGTGCCAAGATATCTTACACCAGTATCGACGGTGTTAGTGGTGAAGAGAATCTATCAAACTAGTGAAGTAAGTTTTCCTTATAGTGAGTGGCGCAATGATAGCTTCAAATCATACAACATGCACTCATACCATTTAATCTATTTCAAAATCTCAAAACTTATTGGAGTTATTACACCTATAAAACTCAATTATTTATTAAGTCATACATCTCAAAATGTCCATCTTCTATAGATGAGTTAATCCATGTATAAATGGTGAGATATTGTAGCCAAATTTTCCCTAATCGATTTATGTGACAATAAAGCTTCTTTGGATTGCTCTATCAATCCGTCGTTGAAACTTAGATATATCAACATTGATTCGCTCATTACATTGCCGCGTATAGTGATTTATATTCAAATCATTAGTACAAAGCATCATTAGTGACGACTATTGTCAATAACTCAAACTAGTCGAGGACTAGCGGATTGGTCGGATCAACTAAAGGGTATCCAACGCACAATAAAGATTTAATTATAAAAAAAGTGATTCTCAACATCCATTATAGATAATTATAATTAATATGTCAATTAAATATAAAAATAAACCTCCATAAATTTATAAATATGGCTCATTCTCAATTAATTTGGTAATCTTTCTCAACTCTAAGGAAATTTCTCATCCAACATACTTGGATCAATCGATGAACTTTAACATTTGGTGAGTTTTTGTTTGAAAGCCACACAAATTTGTGGATCGAATACAAATTTTCAATATTCCATAAGTTCCTTGAATTTTTGGCAAGCTCATATAAAAAAATCAGAGGAGGTTTGTATTGTGTCGAAGGTATTTCTACTGTCAGGACAACCACATCGTACACATCACACATGATTACAACAATAACATCACCTACCTCAATTTGAAAAACCATATGATGATCATCATTCTTTCACTCATACTAACAAATTAATATATGCGTTGGAGACACCACATATAATGGCAATGAAAACATCGTTCGTCACAATGTAACAACCGAAACTCTGTGTTCTCACATATCTTAGTTGTGATGAACTACTATTTAAGTAAGCAATGATAGTGTCACTTGCTCCCATATGAAGACCATATGGCAATGAAAACATCGTTCGTCACAATGTAACAACTAAAACTCTGTGTTCTCACACATCTTAGTTGTGATGAACTACTGTTTAAGTAAGCAATGATAGCGTCACTTGCTCCCATATGAAGACCATAAAAAAAAAACAAAAAACTAAGACAACAACAAGCAACAAATCACATTTCGCACCAACACTACCCAAAAATGCCGCTATGCATGATATATAGGGACTTGGACAATCATGCATCACACACTAAAATTGTGTTTGTTATTGGCATGCAAGAGGACCAGCTTAGGTGCCTCCAGCATCCCTTAAGACTCACATACCCAAGAAACATTTCTTATCAAGTCCCTCAGGCTACCTAGAGGTGGACCATCCTTGTACTTGCAATTAGGCAAGGCCTTCTGGTATTTCCCTGTCTATGTTCTCCATAAAATATTTTATTTTCTGTAATTCTGTGTATTTGATTTCTTAACCAAGGCAATGTGAAACTCTAAAGCCCGACTTGTCCTGTAAATCTCTTCAAGCCCCAATTGGTATAAGCTTCAAGATTGGAAAAACAATTGAACAGGGTATTGGACCCAACGCTGGGATTTAATAGAAAATTTTTTTCCTTCATGATGTACAATATTGTTGTCTATTGTCCTGTAAATCTCTTCAAGCCCCAATTGGTATAAGCTTCAAGATTGGAAAAACAATTAAACAGGGTATTGGACCCAACGCTGGGATTTAATAAAATTTTTTTTTCCTTCATGATGTAGAATATTGTTTTCTAATTTGGAAATGATTATGAACCGTCAAGACGGCTTCC